TGTCCCTTTTCAATTATTCATTCCCTGGTTTCGACACATGCCTGCAGTAAGCCTCCAGATATTCTGTCTACTGACACCACCCTCCGTTTGTCGAGCTGCCGTCTTACTATCCTCCCTCGTATTTCTCAATCTGAATTTCCCCCTCCTCCAACATCACCCTCATCATCTATTCTCAGAAGTACACAGAGAGGCGGGTTCCATATTTATCCTACAATCAAACATTCCCATCAAAACATCATCATTTTTCAATCAGCAGTGAACCACATTTAATCCTCAATTTAATATTTGTATCAACTCTGCCATTACATGTATGTTAGTCACATCGACTGCTCACATTTATTTACTGCCTCTCCTGACAGATTGAAATGAAAAATGCTGGCTTAAAGAAAAGATGGTAGTGTCACTTGTGTTTTAGCTGTGCCCAGCAATTACCACAGTGGCTGGCACATGTTTATCCCTCCATCCATTTAGCTGCCAGCAGATAAGTGGAGCACAGCTCTCCTCGACTCTCTTGAGACTTTCCTTGTGCCCAGGCCTGATTTTGTTGTACTGGGGAACGGGCCAGAGACTCACAACCCACACACACACACACACACACACACACACACACACACACACACACACACACACACACACACACACACACACACACACACACACACACAACACACACACACACACACACACACACACACACACACACACACACACACACACACACACACACATACACAATGCACAAGTACAGTCACGCAAAGACACACTCTGCCACCTGCTGAAGTTAGATGGTTCTTTCATTAAGCCGAGATGGACGGAGTGAACATTGAGAGGGGTTTAAGTGGACAGGCCTGCTGCGCTCTGGCTCTGTTTGAGTTAAGGTGAGGTTGACACCGACAGACACCAAGGATCAGTGTTTTGTCACGGCCACACAGTTTTAACAATATCATCAGGTATTTACTGTAGATTTAGCATGAACGTGAATTCCTAATCCACACAAAAATGTTAAGCTTGATGTCACTTTATTGGGATGTATAAGCGGCATACTGTTTGTGGAGTGATCAACACATATCCTGCAGAAGAGTGTACTCAGGTTAAATCTGATTTGTACATGTGTGTGTGTGAACAGGATTATCTAACATCAACAGTTTATAAGGAGGTTAAACAACAGTGTGATGTGGAAAACCTTTTAGAGCACATACACTGTGAATGGACTTTTCATTATTGTAGGAGACATTGGAAGTTCAGTAGTTGATGAAATAAGCAATGTTTGGATATACATTCTTTATGAAATGTAAACCTTTATGTTGTAAAATACCCAAACTGTTATTTTATATCTTCAAACATGTCTGACTTGGATATGGTTTATTTTCTCAGGACTTTTTACTGCAACTTCATCCTTATTTAAGTGTGATGCTTGTGTCAAATCACGACATCTCCATGACAATATTCCAGAACAACTTTGTTTTCAGACCTACTTCCACATTTCTGATGATAATCCTTAAAGTTTGTCAAATTTGGACCAAGAAATGTAAAGAGTGAGCCATTGTTATCATTAAAGCTTTCAGGTATTAGCTCTCAGCTGGAAAGGCACAATTTATAATCAAGACATGGTATCAAATATGCTCAAAAGCTACTTATGTATATCTGTATTGCAATGTTCTTGTTACCTCAATACTGACATGCACATAATTTGAATATGTTTGCAATAAGATAATATATGTTGATGCATCATCCCAGCCAATTTACTGATCTAGTTTAGGTTTTCATCCTCTGTATTAGGGCTGCTCAATTAATCGTATTTTAATCGCGATTACGATTATGGCTTGCAACGATTACGAAAACAACGTAATCGAAATAAAACGATTATTATTATTTATTTATTTATTTTTGGTTTTTCAGTTGAATTATACTTAAAGTTCAGGGTAATCAACTGTTAAAAACATACTGTTCACATTTTTTTTCTCCAATAAATGGATGTTTTCAAAGTCAATGAATAATCGCATTTAATAATCGCAATTACAATTATTGACCAGCAGCCCTACTCTGTAAATCTATCTGCATTAAGACAGTATACAGTAAAGCCTACCGCGATTACATCTGAAGTGATTAGTTCCTCATGTGTTTATCCCTTGTTGCCACAGTATAACGTTTTTCGAGGACAGCCATCTAATTGGTTGAGAGTAAAAAGAGCTATTATCAAGCTACTTGTGTTTGGTCATTTAAGATAAGATTGGTATTTATTGACCACCTTTGTGCTTGAATTTTCCTCAATTTGAAGAAATGAAGGTCTGTGAACCCCAGCTGCCACTGTCTATAGATGGTTTCACTATATTGGTTGCTATAACAGCTTAAAACATGCCCACTGTGGCCCCTCTAATAGCCGATGTTCAGAGGTGTACTTTATTGACCCCAGTGCTCCTAAAATCCAGGGGCTTCCACCACTCCTTATAGTGCTGCAGTGCTTAATGAGGCCAGATGCTGGCTCGTATTACCCCCAGTAGCTGTTTCTGAACAGCTGTACTGGCAACCTGCTCATCTGGTTCCTGGTGTAGAGGGAGGAGGGGGGGATATTTGCAGCATCTATCGGGAGGCGTGTGGCGCAGTGTATAGAGCGGATGTATTCGCATCAGGGGTTCACAGGTTCAAACCCCACTGCAATGTTGTTGTGTCCCTGGGCAAGACACTTCACCCCAAATTGCTCCTGTGGGGATTGTCCACAGTACTGAGTATGTAAGTCGCTTTGGATAAAAGCGTCTAACAAGTAACATGTCATGTAATCTATCGTTCATCATACATGCTATATTAATTATATTTCCTCAAATGTTCACTCAGGGATCTGTATAATCATATTTATTACAGATATTTTGGGGTTATATCATTCTCTGTTGTCGATCTGCACTGGAAATACTGTACTTAAAGCTGTGGTCTCAAATGTATTTTGTACTCAAACATTATATTCCACACATTATTTTCTACAAAAAACATAGAAGAAGATGCCTGCTCTGCCTGCTATAAGTACTTGTTATGTCATCACTCCTGGACTCGAGCAGGCGGTTTAATTACCCCAGACGGGTTTCTATCACTTGATGCCTGGTTGGACTAAAATACAGCTTTTTGTCCTTTAACTTCAACATCACACCATTTAACACCATTAAGCGAGCGTGGCCTCTCTTCACTGCAGAGCACCTTTTAGAGAGTGGGGCCAATTGTTTTGTGGCGGTTAACTGTCACAATTAGCTAATAATCCTGTGGAGTAATGTCTTCACTTAGTGGTGACTGCTGGGTCTCAGTGGTGAATTTAAACGTTAATGATCTAAAATAACATTATGTCACGCTGTAATAAAAAAAATATGATTATAACAGCTTACGTGACTGGCATAGAAACCCTAATGCAGTTTCTTATAAATATTCATCTTTAGGCAATTCTCCTATCATTAATGTTGCAGACTGTCAACAACAATTTACTCATCTCCAAACTTTTGGATCCCTTAACAAAGATCCCTTAGTCACGCAACACAGCAAGATTAAAGGTCGTCACCAGCGATTTGACATCTAACTTTTTCAAAGTTGAGGGACTCAAAAGTGACAGATTTAGAATACATCAAATGAGTATCCTGATTTTTTGTCCCTAGGATAAATCACGCTGGATCATTAAATTCCCATAATGCAATCCAACAGCATCTTTTATCAGACCCTCTCTGCCTCTACTTTGTAATGCAGACTGACTGTCGTAACAAAAATCAAAGTTTGGAGCCTAAACTCAGCCCCCTGTTAGATGTATGTCAGATCATCTGCCTTCAAACGGATTTTTGAAGTGTGTGTGACTCAATTGCTGCCCCTGCTGTGAAGTTCTATTCCCTATTTATATTTTATTTCCACCCCATCATGAGTCAGACAGAGAATTAAACATGGATTTGCGACGATACACTAAACCAATACAAATGCCATCTTATTATGACTCCTCTGACTGGGTCTGTACCTCCTGCATCAAATTCAGCCTATTAATATCAGCCAGCCCAAAGCAGAGCAGTAGCAATGGTGCTGTCACACTGTTTTATCCAAACAGACTCCTCCGCCCCAAACTGTGTGCCTGCAAAGCCCCTGTAATCCAACCCTGAAACTTGCCAGCTTCCCAAAGTCGCAGCTTTAAATCACCTCTCCCCTTGTTTTCATTACATCTCCTTCACTCTGTGTTTTTTTAGCATTTCCTTCCCTGCATCTTTCGTCACTTCCGACCTTCTCCTGCCACCCCCGCCTTGTTTCACTCCACCTCTGCTCCAATGACCTCTTGCCGTGGCCCCAGGGACTCACCGAGATGTTGTGATGGCAGAGGATTGTGGGATGCCAGCTGCCGTTTTAATGATTTTGCCCCTCGGCACAGATCAGCTCGAGAAATACAGTTACCATTTTTCAACTGAATGAGAACTCTCACCCCTGCAACGCCTCTGCAAAATATGTGTGTGTGATTGTTTGTGTGAGTGTGTACATTATGCGCACAGACATCGAGACTTGATTTGGTCATTGCGAAGCTTGAAGACGGCATCTGTCTGCTTGCATTGTTTGGCCGCTTATGCACGTATTACAATGGATTTGCACACAGTTTGCACACAACTCGTTGTGCATGAATGTGTTGGATGGATCACTCTCTAACCTCCATGTCTCTCGGTCTTTCTACCCTCTACCCCTCTCCGTCAATTTGCTCTTTCAGCTCAGGTTTAGAAAACTGCAGCACGTCCTGCCAACACATTGCTATTAGCATCATGCGCTTCAGTGCATCCCAAACCTCTCACTGATGAAGTTCAATCCATTCCCTTTAATTATACCTTTCTCAAAAACACCTCTAATCTGTCCAAAAGTTTGATCTCCCAGGGTTCAGTCAAAACTGTTGCAGGTAGTTTGGAAAGTACCTACAATGATTTTGCTGTGTGTGAATGTGTGTTGCATCAACCTGACTCAACCCGTATCTCCCCCCACACCCCCTCTCTTTTCTCTCCCTCCAGACATTGATGACTGCCAGTCTAACCCATGCCAGAATGGAGGAACCTGCATCGATGAGATCAACTCCTTTGTGTGTCTTTGTCTGCCCAGCTACGGAGGAGCGACTTGTGAGAAAGGTAACAATTTGCACTAAAACTCTGCTCTCTCATCAATAACAACACAGGGGAGTGTGTTTTGTGAGAGCAGACAACTATGCAAATGGTAAAAATTGGTGTAGATAAGAAGCAAGATGATGTGATAGTAGAAGTAGCAGGCAGAAGATAAAGAGGGTGATGAGCAGTTAAAGAAGAACGAGGAGGTGACACATTAAGAGAAAGATTATGCTATAAGAGCAAGATGTGGAGACAGAGTTAGAGAGAGAACAACAGGGTTAATGGAGACAGAGTAGGCGGTGCAGGTGGGAGGAAGAGGATCTGAATGTAGACAAAGAGGAGGAGGGAAGCCCTTTGGAATAATGTATCCATTTCTGTACGACACCTGCGACCAGCTGGTGTCTTTTCTCATTACGGGAACTCCCCTGTGAGATGGGCGCTAGCAGGGAGGCTGCTCACAAACTGCATGTTACATCAATGAGGGAAACCAGCAGCTGCTCTATACATTAGGGTTGATTATTTAAGTTTTTGCACAATTTGATGGATAAGTGCCCAGATTTCTTAAGCTTGAGTGTACATCCCGAGACTGAAGGTTTTGTGACATTAACAGTAAATAAAAGGCTTCCAAAAATAGATTGGAGAGATGGTGAAGAAGTGCACATGAGCTGCCTTTTACAGTATGTGCCAGATTATGTGAGGAAATGGTTCTACAAACAACCAAAATCAAACAAACAATTATTATTAGTTGTAGCCTTTTTAACTTTAGATTATACAAATGAATTCCAGGATATACAAATTCCTTTATATTATAAGTGTAAAGGGATACTTTGGGAATTGAATACAAGTGAGTTTGGAGCTTGCTTCCCAACTAACAATTCTGACTAATGCAAAACCCCAACATCCCTTGAAATACAAGAATTAAAATAGCACAATTAAAAATGTAAGAATGAAAAGTTGGAGGGGCAAAGAGAGTGTGAGAATAGTAAAGGAGACATATGTAATAGATGGTTGAGAGAACAGGGAATAGAGATTTAGGAATCTGCTCTGAGATATATAAAAGCAACTGTATCTCTACTGGTCTAGCGTGACCTCCGACCTCGACTCTCAGAAGAGTTTTTACGGCTCTTCTGTGGTCTGAGAGACTCGGGGCAGAACAATCGATGGAGAAAGAAGAAATAAAAGAGAGAGTAAACCGAGCGAAGCCAGAGAGAAGCAGCAGACAGACCTTCTAAATGTTGTAGAAACTACAGTAGTGTTTGGCAGGCCCCAAATGAACTTTTCACTTTGCCTCGTTTGTGCAGGCTTATTGTAGTAGTTGGCAAACCATCAAGAATTTCAATTCTACTTTCAGCACCTCAACACAACCCTTAGTGTGTGTTATTTTCTAGTAATTCATACACAGGCATTCACACACAAACATCAGCTACCGACTGGTGATATGTCACCCTTGTGCTTTTTCTCGTTTATTTAATCTCCTTCAGCTTATATGAATGCACTAGCAACTTTCTCTGGACTTCACTAAAGGTTGGTAGATAAATATGAGAAGTCACAAGAGGATTAAGTGGCTTGGAGAGAGGAAAAATCCACTAACTTTAATGAAGTAAATAGCTCGAATGGCCCTCTAATCTAACAGTATTCCACATACTAGTTAACTCTTACTGTAGTTGCCCTTTTTGATCGCCCACTGCAGGAAATGTAACTTCAGTAAGTCTTACTTGTAATTTCCCCGAGGTCATGGCTTCCTTTTTTAATATGTATGCCCCTCCTGTGGTGTAGATCATACACAAACAAGAAAGTAAAAAAGCCACAGAGACTTTACAGTACATGGATTTTTATGTTGTGCTGTTTACAACTGTGTTATAATAAATATACAGCTTCTTTAAATCAAGGCAGATCATTAAATACTTTATCTGCTGTGTCTCACAAGTTTGGATTTTCATTCTCGAGTATTGCACACCCCTATATACTGATTCTCCCCTCCTCTCATCTCCTTTCCAAACACACAAATAGGCACGTACATAAGTACATCTCCATCCAGAGTGCCTTTGATTTGACATGCACTGGAGCTGCGGTACGTTTCCTCTCCTGCTGCGCCGCTGCCTTAATACCTGATTGGGAGCAGCAGGTCTGATTGTGTAAATCGGAATTCTTTGTTTTCCCATAGCTTTATCTCTCGCTACTTGCCGGTTGCATAAATATAGGAAACAGCTGTGAAAAGTACAATTTGCAGCAGGCGTTGCTCTGCCAGTTCATTGTGATCTCAGTTAGATATCGAGAGGGGGGTCTGAACCGCGACATGAACGCTGGAAATGAACTCATTCGTTCGAGGCTCCATCTATTTAAATGTCATCCAATTGGTCCCTGTCTCAGTGAAGTGGTCCGGCTGTCTCATTTCCTGGATGTTTTGTGCTGAAGAGGAGGTGGAGAGTGTTTAGAGGCTGAATAGATTCAATGGCTATTTATTTATTTATTTTTGGCATTTCTGCTTTATTTAACAGTGAGAGAGAAAGGATGAAAGAGAGGAGGCATCTTTGGTAATGGCTTTAATGGCGCACACTCTGCCCTATTAGCTACCAGGACAGCCTTCACTGACTATGTGTGCAATATAGATTCTCACCTGAGGGATAAATATGTAAACATACACGTCCGCAAGTAAGACCATCAAACAAAGCCATGTGATTACAGTAACTCAAATAATTTGCATTGTGGCTGGCATTATTTTAGTTGTTCCTGCAGAAAATCTTAGCGGGAAAACTGTTTCATTTCATGTGCAAGGTGTTTCTCAGTTCTACTCAACTACTGAATATGTTTGTAATGTTCCCTGGCCATTTGCCAATTCTGGCTTCAAAAGAAGTCTTCAATAAATTGCAGGTAGCATACACTAATAGTTCACTTTATTTTTAGTATCAGTCTGTTGTTTACACCCAATATAATTCCTTCAAAACACATTCTTTCTGGGATATGAGTTGTTATGCTTGGTCTTTATTTGCTAAATTATCTTTTACAGTGCTCTATATTGCAGATAAAGGACACCAAAACCATTGTTAGTCTAAAAAAAATTGAGAATGCCGTTGTGACGTTAAAATAAAGACGTATACGGCACATCATCAAATTGCTGTTGTGCCATCATTTCTATCCTCTATATATGTATTATTTACCTTGCTTTGAGTGGTAAAATAAATATATAGAGCAGGGGTGCCTAACCTTTTTTGAACCGAGAGCTACTTTTAAAGTTGCCAGTCTGCCGAGATCTACCAGTCCAAATAGAGAGGCGTAGCCATTACTGACAGCCTACTACCAGGTAAATACACACTTCTACTTGTATAAAACTTACCTTTGTACGATTAATACTTCATAAAATACTATCCTTTATCTTACCTCTTTCTAATCTACACACATACAAGTATTTAACTGAAGTTACACAACAGTGTTGTTGATACAAAGTTGGAGTTTATTCACACGTCACTACAGTGGGTAATGTTTTCAAGAAACATTGAACAGTGCTGCCACATATGACACAGGAAAAAAGAAAAGACTCTTAACCCTTTCTTTGCCATTATATAAAAATAGTGTTGCTACAAAAGTATAAATTAGGCTTACTAATAAGACAACTCAGATCTGAAGCTACTCAGGAATCTGCTGCCAAAGTGCAATACAAATGACAAAATTAATAGAATCAAACCCTTTTTTTGTTGCATTTTAGTAGAGTATAAAAATAAATGCCTTTAAAATAGGATGCAAGCAACACTAGTTTCTTAACCTGAATTGATAATAGACTATAATCAATTTAAGTTTGCATTTTTATACCGTTTTGTACAATAATTATAATGAATATGTTCAAACAAACTAAAACTTACAGCTGATTAATAACGGTATCTAACTTGAGTTTTTATTATATCAAAAACCTGTTGAAATGCTACTGTTATTTGTACTGTCCCCCAAAAGCGCGTCGGCAGCCTCCAGGAAAGCTTCTTTAACAACTTCGCAGTCTTTGAAAGACTTCATGTGTTTCGCAAGAACGTGACTGACACGATAAGATGCTATGGTAGCAGCCTTGCTCTTGTTGTTGGGCCTGGTGAAAATGGACTGCTGTGCATTTAGCTGTCCTTTCAGGCCCCTCCCCTTTTGGGAGCGTCGGGCAGAATTAGGAGGGAATTCCGTCTCGTAGCGTTTGTGCACTGTTTTGAAATGCCGCTCCTAAATTACCCTTCTTCGATAAAGCCACGCTCGCATTGCAGATGAGACAGATCGGACTTTGAATTGGAATAGATACAAAAATAATCATCCTCCCACTCGGAGTGAAAATTATATATTTTGGGCTTTTTTGCTTCTGCCATAATTGCGGTCTTGTGTGTGTGCGGACTGTCACTCCTGTTGAGTTGACACGGAAGGAGTTTCGCCAACAACAACAATGGCGGATCACAGGTTTGCGTTCGTGCTCCAGACGCTACTGACCATGATACAGATTTTAGTGCAACATTTACAGCTCCTCTACCACAACCATCAGCAACAATAATAATATAATATAATAATAATAATACGTCTTCTTCGCTGCTTTTGGTGTATTTTATGGCGGAAGTACAGCGCCACTTACAGGCCCGGCATATGTACTACAGCGTCTCCAGCGTTTTCGAACGTTTTCGTGTGGACTTACACGTTTCTTGAGCCGTTTCTGTGTGGACGGAAGACCTTTTTGAAAACGACTAAGGTCTCCGTGTGGACGGGGCCTTAGAGCGCTGGCCAATAGAAGCGTGAGGGTTACAAAGTGATGAAATTATGTTACGGAAGTAAACAAAGGAGTCCCTTAGACCCTTTTCAGGCAGTGGGAGAATGTGTGGGAACCGTGGGAAACAATAAAAAATCCCTCCTTTGGCAGTTATTTTTTCAACAGTTCTGTATCAGTAATGAATGGATATTTAACCAATAGAGACATCTTTCAGTTGTTTAACTCTCCTCTCCTCTCAGCCCTGAAACTGACTGTTGAGTCCGTCCTGCCTTCTTTTAGACTCGCTGCCTAATCTGGG